GGCGCGGCAGCCTCCACCGCACACCACTTTCCTAAGGCTGGTTGTATGTGCAGCTCCACAGGCTGGTAATGGGCAGTGCGCAACTGGCTGGGCACGAGGCCTGTCAGCAGCCCACAAAGCCACAAGTGCAACTGCCTGTGGGACAGCGAGGCAGTGGGTATCAGCAGCCACATGCGAGCACCACCCAGTGGGGCTGCAGCCAAGTCTGCACTGGCTTCTGCTGCTGCTTACATCCCATGTGCCTGCCCAGTGGGACTATGCCAAGTGCACAATAGCTCCTGCTGCTGCTCCCACCCCACCTGCCTGTCCCATGCCTGTCTGTCTCTGTGAGCAGCCAAGCTCCTTCACACCCTACCTCCATCCACACTTCCCCACCCAACTATGCATGAGCAGGACCCAAAGCAAGCTGCAGGCAGAGCCCACCCTACTCCCCTCAACACTGCAGCTTCCCATCCCTACCTGCTGGCCAGAGCACTGCAGCGGGAACAGGAAGAAGAGTTACTGGGAGAGCCCAGAAGTTCCCAGAGTGGCTGCAGCAATATCAGCAGCAGTCTTGCCCAGAAGCTGTGCCTGCTGGCCGGGGTTGGCACGCACTGCTGGAGGTGGGAACAGGTGACATGTGGCCCCAAAAATAGTACAGCAAGGGCAGCCACTGGCAGGGTAGGATACAATTACATGGCAGGTGCCTGCTTGCAGGCCATATTTTGCCCACCCTGTGTCGTTGCCTCAAATGCTGGGGCAGCAAGTACACATAATTAAAATTGTTGACTTTGAAATGCATGAACAGGATCTTGTAGCAGAACTGTCACGGGGGGCATAAGAAATAAGCCAAGGACAATGGTACCCAGTCAAACCCAAATGAGGTTCATATATAAGAATTTCTTTTATCCTTTAAAACTGGGATGGAAGAAACTTTGAAGGACTGGAAGCATTCTTCACAATGCTTAACTGCCTGAACTCACAACTATAAACCTCACAATGCTAAACACCAGGGTGAAGGTAGTAACAAGTGCATGCATCCGTTAACAACTTTTCTGTTCTATAGCACTGTAAGTTACCTTTCTTCTTCCTTAATTGAGAAAAAATAAAATCCTAAACAGATTCAAACCACACAAAGCTTACCAGGAGCCTTAAAAGAGGTGACAAGATATTCCGTAGCTAAGAACAACCGGGCCATGAAGTCTAAGTTTGAGACCAATTTCTCTAGATTTCCATTAGGAGCAATGACAATGGAAGAGCTACAGACTTAGCTCTGAAGGAACCAACCTGGCAAAAAGGTAGGATGCAAGAAAGACTGATGCACCAGCAACTGGAGGGAAGGAATGCCATGAGAGAGGGAAGTAGGCTGAGTTCGAGCCAGGACACTATGGGGGACCAAGTGTGAACATGCACTGATGTAAACAGTTACATAAGTAGGATATCTAGATGCCCTTTTCACTAGGGGGATATTCTAGTCTGGATTTAGCAGGCAGCCACAAACTACTCCCGATTGGTTTTTATGTGATTGCTTGATTTGACTGGATGATTTAGTCCCTGGGTTACTATTATAGTTTTTCAACAGGAGAAGAGGTAAGGCTCTGACAGAGCTAGTCCCAGAGAAGACAGAAAGCTGGAGAGAAAAAGGAGTAGTCCCAAGGAGTGCAGAGTGGAGTCCAAAGAAAGGTGCGCAATACAGAGTTTGGTTTGGAGCTGACCAGTCTGCTTTGCTGTTTGGGATATCAGCACTGACCCAGCCCCATTTTTGAAGAAGAAAACACACCTGTCCTAGAGTCTGATGAAAAAGGTGCTTTCTGAGGTGGAGGTGCTATGGATCACTGGGGAAGCCAGGATCTCAAAGGCAGAGGCTTTTTTCTTGTGAAGCCATGAAAGGGCTGGCTACAGGTAGTCCTTTAGGAGAGGGAGCCCCAATAAGGCTTCTTTTTGATGAGTCCCAAGGCAGGAGCTTCCCCTGAAAAGAGTGTAGTCCACGATAGGGAATTTTAGTAGATGGCTCCATTACTGACCAAGGTTAAAGCCGAGAGGTTCCAGAAGTAACTCTTTTCTATTTCATCAGAAATAAGAGATGCCCCTATATAAACATTTGAAGTGATCAACATGAAAGCATATATTAGCAATATGGCCCTTTTGGGGCAACTGATTTGATTTACTCATTTGACTTCTTTTAATAACCAAAGCAGTCTTCACTTAGTTCTGCGCTCTCACCATTTTCTATTGAGAACGTATGTAGCTAAGAAAAAGTTCTTGGTCAAGGTTTGAAATTAAGTTAATGGCCAAAACCAACTTGGAGGGATCTAAGCAACAGAAAAATACAAAGATTTCCATTGTTACCTGACAAGCCATTGCAAATAGATTCTTCTGAAATAAATTCCATTCCAAGCTTTTTTCCATTTTCTCTGTAAATTTTCTGCAGAGTCTTGTTGGGAAGCACATTATAGTAATCATGTCCATCACCTTTTATTTCCACCTAACCAAGAAAAAATATTACGTAACATGTAAGATTTCATTTGTTAGATCCAGTTTAACTACACACCTAAATAATCTGAACAAATCAGTCCATGATACATTTTACATGTTATACTTATATGGAGATCATGAGAAAAACTACTAGTGATATGTCATGATTTCCTTTAAGAAAAATGACAAAGACTTTTCTACTTCTGCATACAGTTCATTAATACTATTGTTGGTCAAAAAATCCCCAAAACTTAAACAAGAACAAAGCTAAAAGTCTTGCCAATTCCCACCACAGACTCAAGTCTCAGAAGTGTGAATCCTTGTAGAACAGGGGCGGGCAATTATTTCAAGCAAAGAGCTGCTTACCAAGTTTTGGAAAGCTGTCAAGGGCTGCATGGGTAGCCCTGCCCCTTGACAGGTGCCCCGCCCCCTGGCTACCATCTTGGGACCAGAAGTCCCACCTCCTTTGCCTCTGAACTTTGCCACAGGAAGTCCCTCCCCTTGCCCCTGGAAGTACTTCTTCTGGGAAGAGTGTTTGCCATCTTAGGGGGAAAACTAATTGTATACTAAAAATCAAGCACCCATAATAAATTTTAATTAAAAAATATATATTTTTGTCCCGATTTGTGCGCGTTTGTGCTATAAATATGTAGAAGTGATTGCATTCTAGCTCAAAATGCAATCTTGCTCATATATTGTGTGGGGTGTGCAGGGATGTTGGGGGGAGGGGGGGTTGTGGGGAGCTGTGGGTGGGTGGATGTGTGTGTGGGGGTATGGGAGCCATGCGGTGCAGAGCAGCTGGTGGGCAGACAGGAAAGTGGGGAAAGCAGCTGTGGGAGCAGTGGGGGACTGGAAGTGAGTGGGCAAGTGGGCGTGTGGGACCTGGCAGGGCCCAGTGGGGCAGTAGGAGCATGGGGTGCAGGCTGGCAGGGGCCTATGACAGGTTCCCAACCTTTTTATACTGTGGACCTGCAAACTATATACAAATTTACAGATTTAAATTTACTTTATATGTTTAAATTTAATTTTTACAGGGTGGGGGCTGCACAGGTGGTGGCCCAGGGGGACCCAGCTGAGGCTGCTCAGGAAGAAGGGTCTCTGCTAGGAGCAAGCAGCAGACCCACCTCCTTGTCTTCCACCCCTGGCATTTCCCTGTCCACAACCCCCTGCTCCCAGGCAGCGCACGCCCCAGTACCTGCTGCACCTTACCAGGGGCGGCCATGGCGGCGGGAGCAGGATGGGGTGCACAGAGCCAGCTGCCTCCCTCCCGGGGCTGCCCTGCTGCCTGTATGCGACTACTGGCAGCAGAACCCACGACCCGGTGGTTGGGAACCCCTGGTCTATGGAATCAGGATGGGCTGTGCCAGCACGGAGAGAGGGGAGCCAGCCCAGCTCCACAGAGCCCGTCAGCCAGGACCCCACACTCCTACTGCCTTGTTCTGGGCCCTGCTGATGCTGGCCCCGCACTCCCGTCTGGATGCCCCACGCCCGCTTGCTCCCAGCCCCGCAGTACAGTAAACCGATTTAACCTAAATCCGTTCTATTCTAGATCCCCTCCAGATTCAAGCTAATTTACTGTCCCCCAGCATACCAGGATGCTTTGCACCTGCCCTGCAAACTCCCGTTTGCAGGATAGGCAGGCTAGCCTTGGCCCAAGCTGTCTGCTCCAGCCAAGCAGAGAGGCATGCTCTAGTGCCCTTCAGCTTCTGGCCTGGGCCACTGCAGGCATGTGGCTGCATTTCCAGAATCACAAGTGAATGTCTGTTCACTTGCTTACCGATTAAATCAATGTTGCTTAGACTAACCTGCAAAGATTGAATCAATTCAGCCTAGTGGTTTTTGACCGTCTGTATTTAGCCAGAGAGCATCTTTACTGAGCAGCAGACTTCCTCCTCCTCCTCCTAAGATCACCTCCACAAATCCAAAATAAATACTACCAAGCAGGGCTGAAAGTCATTTAGTCTCACTTAATCATTTAAAACTGCCCAAATAACAACCTTAATATGTACTGCAGCAATTTCCCAAAGCAGAGATTGTATCAAAAGTAGGTAAGATCACTTGCAAGACTCAGAGAAATTCAACAGAAAAAGATAGATGTATACAGGAAATGAGGTCACAAATCCTGAAAGACTGGGAGCTGCCGATTTAAAATGTGTAATCTGCCTTCACCTAAAACTCCAGCTGTTTGGGAAAGAAAAGGCAGATTGCCTTTAATCAAGGCTTTAGAAAAAGTATATTCTCTTCTTTCTGAGTTGATGAAATAGTAAGTTTAGGTTTGTTTCAAACCATGTATGACAAAATCTTATGAAGGGGAACTTAATATCCTAACTAATCTTTCAGTGTGATAAAAAAATATTAAATCAAGCTCTAAGAAATGCTTACTTTACATCCTGTGGCCAGCGCTGCAGCTTTGAAACAGTTTTCAGCTTTCTCTGTCAGAACAGTGAGCTCCGTCATAGAAGGGGCACGCAAGTAGAATTCTAGCTCAGAGTAAGAAGGGATGATATTAGGTTTCACACCACCATTTTTTATTACACCTGAAAAAGAGAAGCCAAGCTGTTAATGCTGCGGAAGATAAAGGACTCTTATATTCTTAGCCTTAAGAAGCTGCTTATCCAAGAGCTAAATGAACAAACCAGTTGAAAGCATTAAAACATAAGCTAAGGAAATACTATATTCTCTCACATATACTGTGCCCCCCGAATATAATGCACACTGTGTTTTTTGAAAGGCAGAATGAAGGGAAAAAAGATTTTTTTTCCAGATTTATGGCTGCAGAGAGTGGAGAGACTTACTCTTCAGCTGCCTCACACTCCCTTTTCTGCTTAACTACAGCTGAAACCCTACCTGCTGCTAGAGACTTGTCTCCATGGGTGGATCCATGATTTTGAGAAGAGCTAAAGAGTCTCCAACACTGTGAAACAGGAGGAGAGAGATCAAGGGAAACTAGCAGAAAACAAAATTGCCTCAAGAAAGGTTAGTTGATTAGTGGAACATCAAGACCATTAAAGAGGAGAGACAGTAGTTAACTCTGGAGTAAAGAACAATGGGTCATTGAGTCAACTGACTCCTTCAGCTGCCCAAGTAGTAATCCAACAGCGGCTGTACCACAGAACAGGAATCAAAGCAGTTTCCTGCCTCTCTCATTCAGGAAAGAAAAAAAAAAAAAAAATCAGGTTTCCCCAATTAATACATGCACCTCAATTTTGGGTGTAATGTGTACATTGTGTGAGAGAAAAAAGCTAGTAAGCACTGAAAACATCCTATTTAAACCCATTCTCTTTTATTTCTTGCAATTACATGAATAAGAAAAGCATAATGTGAAAAAGGCTTCTCAGGCTGGTATTGCAGCATTCTTTTGGACAGTTATTCAAATTGACTTCCAAATAAATAAATAAAATAAGAGAGCAGGACTAGCATGTACAATTCTCTCCTGCCATCAACTGCAGACATTTAAAGCAGTGAAACAGTCTTGCTAACACTGTGGCACATGATAAATTAAACAAACTTATATGCAACAATTGTTCATCAGGTTGAAGAGAAGTATTCGATCTAAAATGTAGCCAAGCACTTCTCCATAACTGAAGTTAAACAAGGATATCCCCTCATTTTTCATGTTCCTCCCTCACAGTTACAGGCAAACTGGTTATACCAGGCTTCTTCCAGAATGACTGACATTTAAAAAAAAAAGAATTAAAAAAAAATTACTTTACCACTTATGCCACGTGTTCCCATTTTGCTTTGCCAGTTTGGACAGAGATGAGTGTCTAGTCATTTTTCAGATTCTTCTGCACTGGTGTAACATTTGGATTCCTCCTTGGTAGTAATCTGCATTTGCTGCAATGCAGGGGAATGTAAACTTACTAGAATCCTCACACTCAATCTACCTCTTCATTCTTTGGAAATATATTTCTACTGATTTTAAGTTTCATAAAAATCTAATTTTACACAGGGTTGAGGGGGGGTCATATTTGACCAGAAAGCATTCTTCAAGCAAATGATACCAGTATGTCATTTTCACATGTAGTACAAAAGCAGCCAGTTATTGATAAAGTAATTTAATAGTTAAAGTACAGTTTCTTATAGTGTTGAATATCTTGCTCAGGAATGCATTAAACTTCACCTGTCAACTATGGTTCTCTTTTGTTCTTAAAACCAGAGACAAACTTGCTGTCAGAATCCCCAGGAACTTCACAGCTAATTCATATATTTGGAATAAGTAAGCCTGCAGTCATACCACCATTTTTGGAAAGCACCCTATCCTAACATATTTGAAGTTTCAGGTGCTTTGCAAAATACTGCTGAATGCTACTAGTTGTTTAGTGTCACTGGAGCCTGGAAATGTAAGGCTGTCAAGAAGCAAAATCCTGTAGTCTCAAAGCACAAAGATACTGATTCTGAACATGAAAGACCTGGAAAAAGTCACGCCTCTGCAGTCTTCAAAGATATGGCAACCACTAGTTTGCAGAACATGGAAAAGAGCCTCAAAACTTAAGTTCTTAGATCTAGATTAGAAGACCTGGAGACGGAATGCAACGAGAAGATGGAAAGCAAGCAGAGAAGAACGTGTTTGAAGATATGCTGTACTTGTTAAAGTAACAGGGGGGGAAAAACCAAAAAGACAAAACCAAACTTATTGGAGGAACGTAGCGCACACATCCACACTAAGTTAGCTAGCTAGTTTAAATTCATTATGGGTACAATTTCTCTTTGGCTAAAATATCCTGATGTTCATGGTATTTTCTTTCCAGGCTGGCAGTTTTATTATACATTCAAGTTGGGAAAGAAAAACAAGCCTGATTGGAATACTCTATTTTGAAACAAATTTCATGACATGGTCATTTTTACAATGGGGTCTCCCAAAAAAAATTCTTCACTGACCCAAAGTCTAGAATATTTTGATGCTAAACATTAGTTTAGAGATATCTACTCTATGCACGCAGGTCTGCTGGAAAATTAGAGCTACTGTTGCAAGCCAGTGATTAGGCCCCTGCGCCTGTCACAAGACGGCTTTTATTGCCAAAGTTAGATCTTGTTCTGGCTGATCACTCCACCCTAAAAAATTATTTCCAGGTTTTCAGTTTTGAAAAGAGTTTTATAGGTAGTTGCACAGATACAAACTCTTCATCCATTCATATCTTGATTTCTGATAAGTTATGGCAGAAGTCAGACCATACTATTTGTTCAGTCATGGCTGTTTGTGTAACTTTACTTATATTTGTCCCATGCAGTATACAAATGTTGGGAGAAAACATTTGTAATGTTAATTCATACTTCCACCCTATTCATTTGATTTCAACAATGAGTTCTAAACATCCCTGCTATTACAAGAGTTCCTAAAAAAAGTATTTTAGAAACAAATATAGTTATTTCAATATTTGAAATGACTGTACTATTTCAGTGCAACAATGCTGTTTTTTGTCTAAGTAACCTAAAGTTTGATTTGCTTGACATAAATTTTAAAGAAACTCTCACCGTGAACTCTCCAGGTAGGTTTCATTTGCTGTCTTAAAACTGATAGATTGTTGTATGCAAGAACAGCAGCATCTAATGCATTTACTCCTTCCCAAGGATAAGCAGCAGCATGAGAAGCTTTTCCATAGTATTTCACAGTTACACTAGGAAATAAAAGGCAGCACTTATTTTAAGCTTAAAGGGTCAAAAACAAAATTTCATTTGGATCCACACAGTTAAATTTGTTACTCAAGTATTGTGAGGACAAAAATTAATGAGTGATTTAGCAGAAATTAGCATGTGGGACTATTAAACCACCTTTAAAGCAGCAGAAAGTCTTGAAAAAACTTAATCTTTAAGTTAAATTCTTACCCAAATGTACTACCATTCCAAAAGTGAAGAGCAAGACTTAAAGACTGCATGCATTGAAAGTGTATGCCATGCATTTAAAAATTAATTTGTAGTAATAAAAAGCTATATCAACTGCAATCCATTTAATGACAGACCCTCTCAGCACCCAACCACTTTGCAGAAAACGAAGGTGGTGCTGGCATAAAGATTCCACTCTTCTTCAGAAATGCATAGGTTCAAGACAGAGACAGACAAGTCAAAGGTTTTAAGCAGGCTTCAGTTAAATCAAATTATAAATAAAGGAAGCTTCCTGTAATTTTTCTGCTTCACCTCTAACATGCGGTTATAGGGAGGTAAGAGACCTTATTTAAGCAACACAAGTAAGAGAAGTAGTCAAGGAGCAAGAAGTCAGCCCTGCCAGTAATTAAATGCAATATACGTAGAGCTTAAAAAAGTAATTGCAATATCAGATCTATACCTTTAAGTTCTTACCTGTCACCAATATCAACACTTTCCAGTTTTCAAAAGCATAATCTTTTTTGAAAAAAAGTTACTTTGAAGTGCTTTTAAACACTAAGTATACTCCCAGCCCCTGAACCCTCAGTAAATTAAGGGAAAAAAACCCACTTGTAAAGCCACTGAATTATAAGTTGCCATAAATATTCCTACATTCCCTTTACCATTTCTTTTCATAAATAATTGAATTTTGAAATCTACTAATTTTGGATAATTGTCAGTGGTATAGTTTCTCCATCTTAAAGTGAAGCACAGAACATGCAGACCAGAACTTGAGCTTTATAGCCTGTACAAGAAAAACCTGTAGAGAAGCAAGAATGATATGATAGCATATTACCCCCTTTTTATAAGTATTTTCTAGAACTTCATTAAGTGGACTTTGAGATCTATATACCCAACCTTTCAATGTTCCACTGATGATTCAGACAAAAACTGGATGGCTGCCAACAGAACAATGCAGAAAGCAAAACATGTCTATAGCTTCTCTTAAATTCAAGGAGCACTATCCTTAAAACAAGTTAAGACATATGGTTTAAGAAAAAGCATTTCAAAGCCTTAGAAATAACAACAAAGTTATTTCATGCAGGACTGAAATGCATCTTGGAATGCCTGTATATCAAGGATACAGAAACTGAGACCTGTATAGGGCACCACATTTAAAACAACAGTTTTCACTCCCCTGCCAATCAGGAGTGAGCCACAGGCAGGGCCCCTCCACTAATCAGCAGCAGAGAGGCAGGGCGGGGCCACACAAAAATGAACTTGTGAGATTAAAGGAGCCACAGCACAGCCCACTTCTACCATGAATTTGGTAAGGCCCTAATCATAAGCAAAAGTTGGGAGAGTTGACAAAGAATGGGGGGGAAACTGTGATCAGAAAAAGCTACATCTTGGAGGTAAAGAAGGAAGCATAAGGATAAAATGAGAACTACCAGAAATGAGGCTGAGGCCAAAGGAAACTAACTACCTGAAGGTGGTTCCATAAGAGGATGGAGCTAGACTGTTCTTAGTGGTGACAGGACAAGGAGCGATGGTCTCAAGGTGCAGCAAGGGAAGTTTAGGTTCAATATTAGGAAAAACTCTCACTAGGAGGGTGGTGAAGCGCTGGAACAGATTACCTAGAGAGGTTGTGATATCTCCATCTTTGGAGGTTTTTAAGGCCTGACTTGACAAAGTCCTGGCTGGAATGATCTAGGTGGGGATGGTCCTGCTTTGAGCAGGGAGCACTAGATGACCTCCTGAGGTCCCTTCAAACCCTAACTTCCTATGATTTCTATGAAATTGAACTAAAAGCTAAAGATTCTTTGAATTCTTTTTATTTACATGGCTAGAGAAAGAAGTGTGTCTGCAGTGTAGCACAGACAGGTTGGAGAATAAAAATCTCCAAGTCACAGGGGAAAAAACAAGACAAAAACTAAAATGAATATGTTGCCTCACACTTCACTAAGGACATGGCTGAATAGGAATAGCTAATGGAAATACATGCATGAAACCAGAAACTGAGTCGTGTCTAAGATGTCCCAAAGAATTTGATGCACTTGTGCCAGGGGACTAGATGATCTGCACCCCAAAATTCTGAAAGAACTCACGATGTGGTAGGTCTGGTAGCAAGGATTTTTAATAAAAATACTAGTACAACTGGATCGGAGCACACATGCTGCCTGTATTTAAGTGGAATGAGATCCTGGCAACTACAGCCTCATTTCCCTGACCACAACTATATGCAAGATGCACATATTTTGAAGGAAACAATAACTGAAGATACGAAGGTAAACGGAAATGGATACAAAGCAGTATGATTTTACAAGAGGTAGACTGTGCCAGACTAACTATTTTTTGATAACTGATTTTCTATTAAAAAAGATGAGATTGACTGCATTATCTGGATTTCAGTAAGCCATTTCATACAATGCCACATGGGAAATTAAGCTGGAAAAGCCAGGGAATTAATACTAGAATTCTAAAGTGGATAAGAAATTGGATAAAGGGGAAAAGAGCAGCAGGTTATGCTGAAAGGGCAACTATTAATCTTGGACAGAAGTTACTAGTGGAGTCCTTCATGGATCAATCCTTGTAACAGCTTCACTTAGTATTTCATTAATAGCCACAACACAAAGGATTGCGCTAAGGACATCTGCTGATGACAAAATGGAAGAGGTACTGCCAATATGAAGCACATTTAGATTATGACACAGAAAAAAAATCAATAACCTTGAAGACTAGTGTAATAAAAGCATGATAAATTTAATAGTAAAAAGTGCGAAGGGCAAAGTCTCACAATTTGGCACTGAGAATTTCTGCTATAATTTAGGAGCTTCTCTCACACATGTGATTGTAAGATTACTTTAAGCCAGGAGTGGTAATGAGAAAGGCAAGATAATGCTAGACAGACAGAGTAGTAGCAATATCATTGGTAAGCCATGGAAAATTCTGGTCGCCTACATTCAAGAAAGATGAACTCCAAGCCAGAACAGGTGCAGGGAGAGGCTACTAGCATGACCACTAGATTGGACAACCTACCTTGCAAAGCGAGACTACATGAAAGCTCTCAAGGGGTATGACTGGTCTATAAATACACTGGAGATAAACACCAGGAAAAGAAGAGATGCTTAGAGCTTTGGGACAAATGCTGGCAACAGAACAAGTGGGTATAAGTTGGCCATATATAAAATTAGAAGGTTCCCAACCATCACAACTGCAAGGTCTTAAAACTGACTTCCTATCAGTTACAGGGGGCCAAAACTTACCCAGCTTTAAGAAAGAGTTTGATCGATTTATTAAAAGGATTATATGGCATGACTGTCAGCCACAGCAAGAGACTGAACTTGACAACCTAAGAACTCCCTTGCAGACCTGTTCTGGCTAACAAGCGCAATCCCCATTACCTCAAGAAACCCCTGGGCACTTCAGTCTTTCAATAAATGCTGATTCTTTAAGGCACAAGAATTAGTACTGTAGAATTAGAATTAGCTACTGTATCATCGCTGCAAATAGAAATAAATACATTTTAAGTGGGGGTTGGGGGGAAAGAGGATGGAACTAGATCTTTCTAATGAACTCCAAAGAGCTTTAAGGTGTTGTTGAATGTTAAGGGACACTGAAAAAACTAAAGAGAAAGATTTCTGATTAAAAACGTATACCTTGAACAAGACACAAAGTAACAGAGTGTGTTAAATGTCTAAAATACACAATTAAAACAAGACAGTAAGATTGTAACACCAGCATAAACAAGGGTTTGCTGGAAAACATACTACACCAGCACTTACAAAGTTGTCCTACACCTTCTTTGACTAGGGTGGGAAATGAAAGCTAAGAGATAGATGCATTTTGCTTGAAGATGCATCCTTACCATCCATGCCAGAGTGGTGAGAGCAGGACAAAGGGGAAACAGGAAGGGGCAGTGCTGAAAAGGGGACCATTAGACTGGAAATAAAAGTTACTAACGGAGTCCTCGAGGACCAGTCCTTGGAACAGCTCACTCGCCTGCATGTCTGCGAGGGAGCTCCCAAGTCCCCAAGGGGACCCTCTTGCCCTGGCCAGGAGCTGTCATACCACCCTTTTAACAAGCCAATCAAACTCTCCCTTACAACCAATGCAGGCTGGACTCTTGCATTTCATAGGATACAAAAACTCATCCTCCCAGGCGCTGTAGTGCCACAGCTCCTTAGGATGCCGGCACCCGCTTATAACAGGAGCTGCTCCTAGCGAGCCCCTTTCTTGGGCAAGGGTCAGGGACACAGCACGGTTGAGTGGCATGAGAGGAGGACAAATACTCACTCGTGCTCAGCTACATCAGGCAGGTAGGCCGCATCCTCCTGTGCTGGGTGAGCCATGAAAACCACGTCCACATCGTCAAAGGCCCCGGCCTCGATCAGGTCAATTTTGCCACCTCCCTCCTCCTCGGCCGGGGTGCCCAGCACCGTCACCTGCGGGGTGGAGGAACGGGAGACTGTCACACGCGCCGTTCAGTCAGGCGGGGCC